GGGTGCGGGCCGGGGGCGCGGGCAGCATGGTGGCGCACGACGAGGTGGGCGGCCTCCTGCCCATCAAGAGGACGATCCGCGTGCTGGACGCCAGCAACCAGTCGTTCCGCGAGCAGGAGGTGAGACCGCGGGGCCGGCGGGGTTGTGGGCAGCCCGGCCGCGGTGCGGCGTGCAAGCCTGACGTGCGTGTAAGGGCTGCGGTCCGAGCCTGGCTTGCACGTGGCAGAGGCGAGGCGCACGGCTGCTGCCGAGAAGAGGAAAGGTCTCAGGTGTACCCGCTCCTCGGGTGGTGGAGCCGCGGCGCCACTCTCGCTGCGCGCACGGGCTTAACTCGGTGGTGGCGCCTGGACTAGGGACGGCGCTGGTGCAGGGAGGACACTTACGAGCGCCTTCCTTAAAGTTCACGCCGGCGAACGCGTCCGCAGGGCGTCCGGCCCGCGCACGTCCGGCAGGTCGCGGTGTGCCGCTTTTTCCTTCGGAAAGAAAGGGGAATGTTGGAACATTAACCGGCCAGCCATGATTAAGTTCCGCCCTCCTTGGTTAATTGTCTGAGTCTTTTTAGTAGTCTCATGAACATTTGTCAGAAAATTTTTTATGCATTTTTATGTACTCCACAGTTGATTTAACGCCTGTGGAACTCTACTTGCGCTGCCTCATACCGCGGCGGTGGTGTGCCGTGGGCACCTACGCGCTATCGCTCTTGCGATAGCAACAGCCTTCCCGTGTTTAATGCCTCTTGGTCGCGGCGACGGTTTTTGCTTATTCTGGTTACACGTTTTAAACAAGCACGTTGCTGTGTGGCCCAACAAAGCCGTCCGTCAGACAGACGCACCTTTTGGCAGCTGCCGTCTTTAGGAGGCCCACATGTTACTTGGTGTGGCTTGCTTCGGTTCGGGGCTTGTTTGCTTTGTCTCTTGTTTACATGCCTCTGTTTTCTTGGAGTCGTATAGGCATTTCCTCTGTAGAGCAGTTCCTCCATGGCCATTAGTGAATCCTGAAACTGACCGTCTTTCGGACCAGCGAGAACTGGTCTTTGTTTAGTATCAGATACTGGGCCATGTTTCTAGCATACTTTAAGTCCTAAAGCTAAAGGACAATTCGTCTTTGTTTTAGAACTAGCAACACAGCCTTAAATAGTTGAATATTTCTAAAAAGACAAGTCCCGTGTGTGATCATAATTATTTTTATCTTTTCTTTTTAAGATTAACTTTCTGTTTACATTCTTCTTATTTTAAGTTCTTGCCGAGGAGAGATTATTGTCTCGTAACTCAAAACGAATAAACCAACATGTACTGTTTTTTTTAAGGTGTCTTGATTTGATTGCTGTACAAGAGATCCCCCTCTAAAATATGTCCTCTAAATGGCATCATTAAGAGAAATCCTTTATACAAAAGCTAGATTCTCACAAGGATTTTTCCATGTTCCTTGCATTTATGTGTAAGTATGGCTAATAAAAGATTTATATAATCTTAACAATTTTCACTTATATAGTTATCCAAAAGACATTTTGAGGCATCTAAATATATGAGACGGGGAGCATAAAAATGATAATAAAAGCCTGGTCAGAGGGCAGATTTCTTATAATGCACATGACTGCTGGGTAAACTAGACAGTCTGATTAAAATTAACCTAATAAACATAAACTTATGTTAAGAGGGTTTTGGGGTTTTTTTTTCCTCCAGGTGAACTAGACTTGGTAAAGGCTTGCCTAGGGCAGAAAGTTCCTTGAGCCTGTAAGAACTTTTGGTATTCTGTTATCACCTAGATTTCAGATTGTCTTTAGAAGAAGGAGTATAGTTCAATATCCTTATCTGTCCTTTAAACTTATTGTACTTGCCTAACATGTTTCCCGGATACCAGACAAAAAAAACAATAACAACAAAACCATTGTATATCTCAGACTTACTTTTTGTAGGTAACAATAAGTATATTCCACTCCGCTTTTTCTTCATTGCCTCCAAATACTGTATCCTCTCTACAGAGAATGTGCGTGGTCTTACCATTCTCTAAAAATACTGTCTTAGAAACACGTTTTGTGAGGATGCAAATGTTTAGGTACTTAGTAGCCAAACCAGGATTATTAAAATGGTTCATCTAGACCTCCAAAGAAAACTACTTTTGGTTGCAGCTCCCAGGGGCCAAATCCTAACCTGTATTCCAAAAGAGACAAATTGTTGTCCCAGTCTTTTAGGTGGCCCAAGAATGCCTAATCCATATCACTGTTTCACAAAAGTCTTCTTTCTGTATGATATATTTTTTTCAAATAGTGTATGTATACTGACATTAGTAGCAAGCCATACCTTTACATTTCATAATCACACTTTTCAAGGCTTTTTATTTAAATTGTTCATACTTTTAAAATATGCTAAAAGTTGTATCTGCCGAATAATCTTCCTATATATGTTCTTTGCTTAAGGCAGAAAAGTTACTGAGTCCCAAGGCATGTGCAAAAAGTGCAAATGTGTCCACCTCCTGTCCCTCCCCCACCCTTATTTCCTGATTTAGCGCCATGCTTCTGCCCAAGACATTTTAGACATGGTAAACTCTGAAGAGTAGCATATCTTTTGTTGAGAAGTGAGATCATAGTTGGGTTTTGTTTTTTTTTTTTTCATGTTTCTAATAGATTTTTTTTTATATATTGCATTGATATTTATAGTTGAGTTTTTTAAGGACTGTGGAACATATTTAACCACCAAATACTGCTCGTCATAATATACACCCTCAAGAAATGACATAAAGTCCATGTTAATTTCGGAAATGTGCTTTAGATAGATTTACATTCAATTATCAAAATTCTGTAGTTTTTATTTTAAATATCACACAATTTTGAGTTACCAGGAAATAAGAAATTGTACATCCACCTTTCATTTGTGCCCTAAAAAAAAAAAAAAAAAAAAGAAATTGTACAGTCACTGATCCTATAAAGATAAGAGTTTTTTATCACTCGTGATTTTATGTAATAAAATAGACATCAAAAATTCCTTTCCTCCCAGCTAGACTAACTTTTCCTTCCTTATTCACTGGGAGGAGCACCTTTCTCAAGACCTTTAAATTGAAATTAGCCATTTTGCGATTTACTGGGAAGTCACATTTGTTACGCTTGAAACAAGGAAGAGGAGTTAACCTCTGTTTCCAAAGAGCAGAGCAGAACTTTCTGACAACTGCTTTGTTTGTGGTTAAGGTTGGCGCGTCTCACTTTGTGAGGTAATTCTAGCTCCAGTCCAACAGGAGCCCCTTTGTGCCGCCTTTACTAAGTGGAAAGGAATGCGTGTGCCGGCCCCGCACACGCGAGTGTCACTCAGTCCGCGCAGATGTGCGCCAGGCGCCGTCTGTACGTCCTCAGCCACATACATGCATGACGTGTGCTGTGTCACCACAGATCGCCAGAGTTTCTTTTTCGGTTAATTGGACCTTTGCATGTTCGTGGCTTTGTATTCAAAGTATTGCTTTGGAGGTGATTATTCAGGGGGTGGGGTCGGCCTATAACTCCACCTCTTAAGGCCTTCAAAGTTCTGAATTCTCTTTGATTACCTACAAAGTCTCTTCAGTAGTTCACATTCCTTTCTGATATGTATGTATTCATTTAGGGGTTTTAATAAGTCTGATTGCTCCTTTGGATAGTCAGATCACTTAAATTTCTTTCCAGGTAGTTTTAACTTTTTGTGCCAGTTCATTATTAAATTATCTGAAGGGATTCTTTTTACTCAGTTTCCTTACCCCTCCTGTTTACATGACTTTAGTCATGTCAAAGAATTTTTAGAAATAATATTTCTTCTGTTGTTTTTAAATAATTTTTATTTTGAAGTGAAAATACAGTTTTAAAGTATATGTCTGGAATTCTCAACAAATTGTTTTTGTTGAGTATGCCAGAATTATCAGAGGCACCAAGTACAAGTAGTTATGGTCCATAGATATTATAAAGAACAGACCTACCTATTTTGTGATCTGGCATTCTTTCTTTGAGTAACTGTTTGAGTCACCTAATGGTATGCCTCCATTTTCCTAGCAATAAAATGAGAATAATGCAATTTTCATAAAGTTCTTAGATCCTTGAATAATAGTGATATATTTGCAATATTATTACTGTTTCTGAATTTGTGTATATTTTTCCTCTAAGTTAATAAATTAATGTATGAAAGAGGATCCAATTATTTATGAATCCCAGTGTTTATGTAGTAAGTGGATACCTAAAAAAGAATGCTAGTAATAGCTAAAACTTAATATGTGCCAAGCACTATCTGAGCTCTGCTTACTCATTTAATCTTCACAGCTTCATAAGAGAAGTGCTGTTATTAGCCCCATTTTACAGATGAGGAAACTGAGGCCCTTGGTGTGCCCTAGCAAGTGGTAGAGCCAGGATTTGCATCCAGTCAGTCTGACTCCAGACCCTGGGAGCTCTTTTAACCCCTCCCCTGCCTTGGCTTCACCACTTTTTGACCCAGTCCATTGTCAGACATGTTTGTTTAAAGGTTATTCTCTAACTGAAGTAGTTAAGAATGAAATTACATAATGTCTGGGATTTGCTTTAAAGTACTTAAGTAGGGCCAGAAATGAAGCAAATTGTAGTAGAAATGTTGAAGCTGAATGAGAGATACATGGGATCTGTTATGCTATCCTCTGCTTTCATTTATTTGAAATTTTTCATAGTTATAAGGCTTTTAAAAAAGTTATTCACCCCATTAAACTGTAAAAAGTTCTGTCGAATTTTAGGATGTAATTTCTTTGCTTTAATTTTAGTTTTTCTTTTAATGGTAATATGTTCTCAAAGTGGTATTCGAAGATTTGACTGGCCTTTCTTACATCATTTATTTTGCAAGTTACTGCTACTTGTAGTGTTCTTACTGTTTTAACAAAGAACAACAACATTCATTTTGAGAGTTTTGTGTTTATGTATTTTATAAAGATACAAAAATTGTTTTGTGAAAGGGCTTAACTTTGTCCAAGCTTGTATGAAATCATTGTACCTGAATACATAGTGTAATCTGGTTTTGTTTTTGTAGGAGCCAAGCAATAAAAGAGTCCGACCTCTAGCTCGGGTCACGTCCTTGGCAAACTTAATCTCTCCTGTAAGAAATGGAGCGGTCAGACGGTTTGGTCAAACAATACAGGTAAAAAAAAAAAAAGAGGGGGGGAGGGAGAAAAAAAAGAAGCAGACTACTTATAAAAGAAGCCAACAAGTTGTTTTCTGAGCAGCACAAAAAACAAGGCACCACCACAACAAAAAAAAAGAAGTCTTCCTGCAATAAGATACAAAAAAATATTGTTACCAAAACAATGTTTGCATAACCTCGTTATATTAATTTGCATCTTATATCACTGGAGTAGTCTTGGCTAGTTCTTATTCACGAAAAGTAGTTTTGGCTGATAAATATTTTAGAATGACAGGTTGGAACTTGTATAAATGATTTTCCATGTTGAAAAATTCTCAGAATTTTATTCTTCATTTGTCTTTCTCTGCTTTAAAAAAAAGAAAAAGAAAATAATTTACTGTTTGCTCCAAATCTTACATTCTCTTTTGTTCACCTTGGGTTTTTTTTGTTTTGTTTTGTTTTTTTTAAGTCATTTACGCTTCGTGGCGACCACAGATCCCCAGCCTCTGCCCAGAAGCCATTCAGCAGGTCGGCAGCGCCGACGCCTGCCAAAAGAAGGAGCAGCGTGCTGTGGTCCGAGATGCTGGACGTCAGCACCAAGGAGTCGCTGACCACCAGGGAGATCAAGCGTCAGGAGGTACACCGGCATCCATGCCCTGACCCTGTTTGTTGGCCTGCACTGAAAAAGGATCCCTGTTTTTTAAATGCGTGTTTTGCCAGAAGAACAGGCTAATAGTGTCTATGACAAAATTAACTTGCATTTTTTTGTGTGTTGGAACAACAATCTTTAACACATGACATAATTCAAAGTGGCCAATGACACTTTGTATGGGTGCTGGTCGTCAAGTTAACTCTGATGGGATAAAACTGTTAAAACATCCAGCAGCCTCTTATTTTGAGATTCCATTCTGAGTTACAGTTTTCAGACTGAGTCACTTTAAAAAATACTGTTCAAAATATCAGTTAAATAATGTAAAAATATCCATTGTATATAGTTTTTCTTTCTCGAAGGAACGACCTGAATTTTTGCTGGATGTTTTTTAGGCAATATATGAAATGTCCCGAGGGGAGCAAGATTTAATTGAAGATCTCAAGCTTGCAAGAAAGGTCAGTAACTTTTTGTCATGTGCCCTAGTTTTTAAAAATTACATTCCACAGATTCTGAAGGATAATTTTCTTAAAATTAGAAGTAAAAAAGTAGAAAACATCTACTGGTGAATACATTTTTTAGATGAGGTCTGGACACATCTCTTCACCTATGAGTATTAGTAAGAGTCTATTTGGGGATTGGCACACACTTTGATTTCTTTATGTGTAGCAAACAGAATCCACACTGGCTTCTGTATAATTAGTCCTGATTGTACCCAAATACAGATCTCTCATGTCTGATCTCTGCACATTTCTACCCTCTGACAGGCCTACCACGACCCCATGTTAAAGTTGTCAATCATGTCAGAAGAAGAACTCACACACATATTTGGTGATCTGGACTCGTACATACCTCTGCATGAAGGTTAGTTATGCTACTGAATTTTCATTAGTATCTGAACAGCAGTAGCACAATTAATTTTAAATCTAAACTTAAACCTATTACAGATCTTTCTGTGTTTTTTACACTTCAGATTTGTTGGCAAGAATAGGAGAAGCAACCAAGCCTGACGGGACAGTGGAGCAGATCGGTCACATTCTGGTAAACTGGGTATGTGGCGAGTTGATAGTTTCTTACAGATGTGCCGTGTAGCAATTGCTGATGAATATCAGATTTATGTGATCTCATAACTGGACTCTACAAACAGACAAGGCATTAAAACTAAATTCACAGTGATAATAAGTAAAGCTACAGTCTGTTTAAAAAAATAAACTTCATTAATGTTGCAGTTTCATTTGTATTACAAATCTGTTTACAAATGTGTTCTTGCTTGGACAGAATTCGCACATTATGTGCTGTTAATTATCCATTGCATTCTTCCACTCGACACGTAAGCACCCGCCGGGTGCTGGGCACTGTTTGAGGCGTGGGCGCTGGGGACGCGCTGACGAAAGGCAGGCCCTGCGTTTACGATCAGCAGGGACTGGCCCAGACATAGGCGGCCTCGGGGCTGGGGATCAGCGTGGCAGAGGACGCTCAGGTGTCCTGGGAACGCGCACTGCAGGCCTCTCTGAGGTCAGGCAGATAGAAGCCACGAGGCTTCCGTTGGATTTAGCCAACTTAGGAAAATTTGAAGAGCATTCTGATGTTTGCCTAGAAGACTAGCTTGCTTCTATAATTATCTGCAGGACAATGTCCACAGCTTGTTAAAATGCTCAAGCATAGCTGTACATTTTGTGTTCACGTGCACAGGCTTGTTGACGCACTCAGTCGTAACAGGAACTCATCGTCTGTCTTTGATTGCTCCTCAGCTACCAGGCTTGAACGCCTACAAAGGGTACTGCAGCAACCAGCTGGCAGCCAAAGCTCTGCTTGACCAAAAGAAACAGGATCCAAGAGTCCAGGACTTCCTCCAGCGATGTCTCGAGTCTCCCTTCAGTCGAAAACTAGATCTTTGGAGCTTCCTAGATATCCCTCGAAGCCGCCTAGTCAAATACCCTTTACTATTGAAGGAAATTCTTAGACATACTCCCAAAGACCACCCTGACGTCCAGCTTCTAGAGGACGCTGTAAGTAGTCCCCTCAGGGATCCTTTTGTTTTCCAAGTTTATGCATTAGGTTGCCTTAGAAAGTTAGAAAATGATACTCTCCAATCTTACATGTATTGAATCAGCATAGTGAAGTATTCTGTTGTTTCAAGTACAGGGACGTTAGTTCACTGTGCACTAAGCAGTAAGGAGATGTCCATGTGACGTGCCTAACACATTTTATATTTGTGTCTCAGTCAGGGGGCTCGATTCTAATCTGGTCTCTTCACTAGGTAGCCATGTGACTTTGGACCAGCCACCCAGTTTGGCTGGGACTGTTTCATCATCTGTAAAATGAAGGGGCTGGCTGGATTAACAGACTTCTAGATTCCCTTCAAGCTTTGAAATTCTTCTGTCTCGTGACATTTTTGTCTCGTGGGGAAACAGGATGTGTTAGCATACTGAATACTGAAGTTGCTCCGTCAAACTTTTGGTAATTTTTAGGTATTGATAATACAAGGAGTCCTCTCTGACATCAACTTGAAGAAAGGCGAATCCGAGTGCCAGTACTACATCGACAAGCTGGAGTATCTGGACGAAAAGCAGAGGGACCCTAGAATTGAAGCGAGCAAGGTCTTGCTGTGCCACGGGGAGCTGAAGAACAAAAGCGGACACGTACGTGCCCCCACGCCACGGGGGCGGCCGCGCTTCCCCTTCCCGCCCGGTTTAGTCTTCGCGTGTAAATTACGGAGCGGGTTCGAAGGAGCGGGTTCGAAAGAGCACATGCGTGACGTAGTGCAGGAAGGCTGTCTCGGTGGAGAATCATTTAGTGTTGAAGCATAAACAACTTATTGTCTGGAGTTCCTTTCTAAATATACCATGAGTTCCATAACGTTTAATAAAAAAGTAAATCCTTCAAAAAATTTTTGAGTAGTTTATAGAAATAGTTTTCAGCACTATTCAACAAATTTCTTAAGCAGATTGAATGAAAGTAAATTTATTTTAAAAAATGCTAATTTACAAAAGTACCTGTTAGAACTAAATACAATCATGGAATGGTATTTTTGTTGGCTTTTCAAAAGCCCAATTTATAAGTTGGGGTTTTTTTGTTTTTGTTTTGTTTTTTGTTTTTTTTTTTTAGAAAAAGTTAAAATCTGGCATCTCTGATTTCCCTCATGAGGCATAGTTCTTTATTTAAACTATTAATTTCGTGTGGAACAAAATGGAACCATTAGTATTTTACCAGCTTGCATTTTTAAGTCCCTACTTTGTTAGAGAACTGTGGTATATGGTGCTGCTGTTTCAGGTCATGCTGCTCTTGGTAGGTCTTCATGATGCACAGTGTTACTTAACTGTTGCTTAATCTGATTTTACATGCCAATAAAAACAAAAAGTTTTATGTAGTCTGAAGATAGAAAAATCTTCCAGATGAAACATGTACAGCCTTGAAATCACTCTTTGAGGTCATTTGTGAGGGAGATCTTAGAAAATAAATCTGATAAAACTAATAGTCCAATCAACTATTTCAACAATGTATGTCAGCCACTTAAAATCATGAAGTTCCATATTTAGAAGGCATTTGTTCCCATTTCTCCAGAAACTTTACATTTTCCTGTTTCAAGACATCTTGGTTCTGACCCGGCCCGTCACTCGGAATGAGCGGCACTCCTATCAGGTGTACCGGCAGCCCATCCCCGTCCAAGAGCTGGTCTTGGAAGACCTGCAGGATGGAGATGTGCGAATGGGAGGGTCCTTCCGGGGGGCTTTCAGCAACTCAGACAAAGGTAAGATATGACCTTTAAAATAAGTTAAATAAGTACAGGCTCAGAATCTAAATGAATTTGATTTTAGCCTTTAAGAATTCTAGGCTGGGCGCGGTGGCTCACGCCTGTAATCCTAGCACTGGGAGGCCGAGGTGGGAGGATCACTCAAGGTTAGGAGTTCAAGACCAGCCCGAGCAAGATCGAGACTCCGTCTCTACTAAAAATAGAAAGAAATTAATTGGACAACTAAAAATACATAGAAAAAATTAGCCGGGCATGGTGGCACATGCCTGTAGTCCCAGCTACTCGGGAGGCTGAGGCAGGAGGATTGCTTGAGCCCAGGAGTTGGAGGTTGCTGTGAGCTAGGCTGACGCCACGGCACTCACTCTAGCCCAGGCAACAGAGTGAGACTCTGTCTCAAAAAAAAAAAGGATTCTAAAGATGAAACGGTTCTGTCGTCCTGTACTCGTTGCACACTCACTGGGTCGTCAGGTGCTTTGTGGCTCTAGCACCAGCAGGCGTATCTAAGACTCGGTGCTTATTTAACGCATCCACCTAATTGCCGTGCGTGCTACGACGTTCAGACTAGCGCCCATGTTAAGATTGTGAGAACACGTTCTCTAGAATAAACATTTTTAAGTATGATTTCATTTTTCCAATTTTTTCCCCCCCCAGCTAAAAATATCTTTAGAGTTCGCTTCCAAGACCCCTCTCCGGGCCAGTCTCACACTCTGCAAGCCAACGACGTGTTCCACAAGCAGCAGTGGTTCAACTGTATCCGAGCCGCCATCGCGCCGTTCCAGCCCGCGGCCGGCCCGCCCGAGCTGCAGGGCCTGCCCGAGCTCCACGAGGAGCGCGAGGAGAATAGCCCTTGCGCCGGGAACCTCGGAGCCCACAGGAGGGTGTCCGCCGTCTCCGGCGTTACTCAGGCAGAAGTGGACGAGAACGTTCCAGAGTGCGGCCCCGGCGGGCAGGCGGCAGAAGACGCCAGGAGCGAGAAGGCGCACCACACGCGGCCCGGCTTCCACAGAGCCCGCGGCAAAGCCCAGTCGAGCGGCAAGCGGAAAGAGACTGTGGTGTAGAGGAAGCCGAGTGTGGCCAGGACTGTTTATTTATAAATGTGTACAGTTTTGTTTCTCTCGTGATGCGAGCGTCCGTAGGGTTGCTCTCCACCACCAGTTGTAACGTTTCCATTGGTTTTCGCCCTTTTTCTTTCCTCTGTCTTTTTTTTTTTTTTTGATGGCAGCTAAAGATATACAGATTGTTAAATTGCAGTCCTTTTTTTTTTTAATATGTTTTCTCTGATTTTTTAGAACATGCAAGGCTAGTATTTTTAATCGGATGAGATGTTTATGAAATGGGTTTTCTCCTAATTCTGGATTTGTGACGCCTCCAGTTACCAACCAATTGTGTTATATTTACAGTATTCACCAAAACTTAGAATTTTGCAAATACTGGAATTCTACCAGTGTTTCATTGATAAACCTTGCATGCGAAATTTGAAATTTTTACATTGTATCTAAAGTCCACGTGGAATGTAGATTTGGAGTATTTCAAAATTTACACTGAAATATAACTTACTTGGAAAACAAACCATAAAACTTAATAGGTTTTTCATTTTATCAACTGGAATGCCTTATATTAGTTTTTCACTGCACATTCCTCATTTTTTCATTTATAACCTGCCAATTATTTAATTTTTTTTATTGTAAAGTAGTTTTTAGTATTTGCTTTTATTTTTTTTTTTACTTTGATGCCATTTCAAACTGGCATGCCTTTATTTTTCTTCCTGATTAAAAATGTGTGTATGTGTGTGTGTGTGTGTGTGTATATATATATATATATTTTTTTTTTAAATCATATGAACTTTACCAAGTGAAATCAAGCCATACTGTGTTTGAGCCAATTAAGAAAATTGCAGTTTTTAAAGTATAGGATTTCAGGGCGGTGAAGACACATGAAATGACCCAGCATGTTTCAGGACTGCTGGGAGAAAGCCACTTCACGGATCTTGTTGAAAGTTTCATTGTTGTCTGAAAAGCAAGAGGGAAGGCGATTGGTAGTAAGTTTAAAAAAAAAAAAAGGGGGGGAAAGAGCGTAGTTCTGTCTTAAAGTAAAAATGTCTGGTTGTGCCAGAGCGTGGCGGAGGGGAAGCTCTACTTGAGGGTGTGTAGTACGTTGTGGAAGGCTCGAGGGGATGGAGACGGCTTGCCTGGGTTTGCAGTGCCAGCAGACGATGAGCTGGAAACAAGTGTGTTGAACGTTTGACCATATGTAAAGTCAGTTTTGGTGGATTTATTCATAAGTTGGAGAAAAGACTGTGTTTGTCAAACGTTCTGTTAAAATGGGATCATAACCTCTAAAGCAGGGGGGGTGCGAAGGCCCCGTGTGGTGGCGGATGTACAGTGTGATGGCCGGGTCGATGGCAGCCCTCGTGTGAAATACATTTGGCCAGTGGAAGTGAAAATTGGAAAAAAGACTGTAAATAGTTCGATCTAAATGATTTCTCTGTATAAATGAATGGATATAATTAAAAAAAAAAAACACACACACATGATCACCCTGAAGGTTTCTTGCCTGGTGGATGTTTTGGGGGCATTTGCTGGAATACGTCAGCGTGGCGAAGGAGGGAGCAGCAAGCCTCACAAAAGTTTGTTGGGATCGTACATACTTACACCTTTGAATGTCATTGATGAGTCAGAGAGAGGTTCAGTTGGGTCAAGTGTTGGGAGTCTCGTGAAACCTTCTGAGAACCCTGTAACAGTCAGAAATAGCAATTATATTGAAGACGACCGAACATCTGGGCACTTTCTGGAGATGATGGTAAAGCCACTAGCAAAGCATCCTGATCGATTTGACTAATTTCAGGTTTTAATTTAGGTGTCTCGGGTTGCAACTTTGGAAATTCAAATCGACAAGTGTACGTTAACACCAGCGATTGCGATCTGCAGCACCAGCAGGCGAGACAGCTGACGATTTCTAGAGGTGTTTATGGAATATCACTCCTTCCAGGATCCACCTCGACCAGCTTCTGAAGTCACAGAAGCAAGTGGTAGCTCAGGTGTCATCAATGGAATGATGTTTTATTTGAGACTGTGTCTTCCTTTTGTTCCCTCAAGGGAGAGCAAGACCCAGAAGAAACTGGATATTTCTTCAGAAATAGCATCTCTGGTCTAGCCCAGTAGTTCTCAGAGCTTGTCTGGGCGCCGGGATCCCCAGGGTGCTTAAACAGTAAAAGTAACAGCCTCACCCCGGAGCCCGGCCCCGAGCTCCGTTTCGCTGAGTCCGGATCTGCACCGGGCAGGCCCAGCCCAGAAGGGCGTCTCCCTCAGGGCCCCACCTCTCGTCTGGACGTGCACACAGGTCCGAGTCTCCGGCTTACGTCTCCCGTCTCCCTGGTGTCGCTTAAGACATAGCTGACCCGGCAGGTGTTCTGCGGCTTCCGTGCCACCTGGGTCCACTTTCTTTCAGGCTTTCCTGAATATGCAGGCCCAGCGCAATGCTCGTCTCACATATACATGGCTACGGTGTTAGTAATTAATCTTACAAGCATCAGAAAAATGCCTAAAGTCCCCATCTGTAAATCTTGAGGACTGAGGGGTGGGAAGACCTCAGTGGCCTCTTTGTAGTCTGTCTTCAGTGCACTCCTCCTCCGCAACCGCGCCCTGTCCCTAGAGGTGACACTGGCCGGTTGAGTGCGGTCTGTTACGTTTAGAAGTCTGAGGAATTCAAAACATGGTACCTTGAGCCTACAAACTTGGGCTTTTTTTTTTTTTTTTTAATTCCTAGAGGACACCCGCGGAAGAGTAACGCCCTTTGTCCGTGGAATCTAGTTCCCACGAGAGGAATGGCCTTGCAGCCCCCCTCGATCAGCAGAAGAATAGAACTGGGTCCAGGAGGGTTTTGGTTCCTTCTGTATGTCTGAGCAGTGCCCAGAATAGACTGCAAGAGTGAGACCTCGGGGTGGTTGCGCGAGTCCAGTGGTCCTTAAACTAGTCAGAGCACGAGGATTTGGGACTAATCAAAGCTGTGGATCGTCTCCCCGGGAAACCGTGTGCATACACATCCACACGATCTGAGAGGCTCAGGGATGGGCCCCAAACCATGCGCTGATACCATCTTCCACACTTCTGGCTGGTCTGTCTTCTAAGTCACTTACGATACTTTCGACTGTTCTGAATATGACTTTCATCGGGATGATATAAAAGTGTCAAGTATGCTTTTCTGTAAAGGATTTTCAATTTGACTTCACACAGTCCTGGCTTAAAAATGCTACCCCTTTCCCAGCCTTGTTGGCTCTAGAAATGTTGTCCTCTGTTTCCCAAAAGGTGGGCCGGCCGCTCGTGAGATGGCTGGCAGTGGACCTGCATTAAACCAAGCGCCTGTCCTAAGCACAAAATGACACTGTCGGGTAGCTAGGTGCACAGGAGTCTCACGATGAATGAGGATGTTGATTTAAAAGCGCTTGAGACCGTCAGAGCATCAGTTAGGAAAATAACAATGGATGGAATCCCATGAAATATGTTAAATCCATAGCTACATTAACAATTCTTTTAAAAATAGCCAGGGATGATGTCATGCACCTGCAGTCCCAGCTGCTCAGCAGGCTGAGGCCAAAGCATCGCCTGAACCCAGGAGGTTGCGGTGGCAGTGAGCTGTGATCACAACACTGCACTCCAGCCTGGGCCACAGAGTGAGACCCTGTCTCTAAAGAGAAAACCAGAACTTACGGAACTCCAGGTCTCCTGTATGCATCCAGCTTCCAGCTCCTCAAACCCCTTAATAATCCCCCTCCAAACCCCAGCCTTTGCTTTTCAAAAGAAAGGCAGAATGTTTATTTAAACACGGCTGCATTTGCTACCTACCATCTCACACAGAAACTGAGACCTTTTGCTTGAATTTCACAACCGATGCCCTCCCCGTACCACTTGGCAGTTGTGTTAGGCTGGCCTGGATTCTGGGCCTCCTCCTCTCCTCCTCCCTGCGTCCCTCTCCCTCCATTCTCGCCTCCCTTGCCTGCACCTGCGTCTCTGCCTCACGGATGCGGACACCACAAGCCACGTGTGCTGAGGCGATGAGGACGCACGAGGGAAGTCCCCAGGCCCCCAGGACAGCAGCCCCGTCAACCCGACCCTGAGAGTTTTCCAGATTGCCAGCTATGGGACTGTCACCCGCGAAGGGCGACAGTGTTGCAGTATTTGGTAATGTTTGCGCTGTGGCGTAAACAGCTAAGGCAAAATGAGCTGGAGTCGGAGGAATCGGATAATCTCCCATATAATCCAGGTTTCTCAACAGTGGCTGCAGGGGCGGGGGGCGGGTGGAAGGGTTTTGTTTTCCTCCTGGACAGAGCAGGACAAGCAGGGACGGACCTGTCAGGTGAGACCTGCAAACCTGTGTAGATCGCCGTGTCTGATGACCCCCATCCCACCAGCTGAGAACCTGAGCTACACAAACAGCAAGTGACGAGATCACACAGCTGGGCTGTGGCCCAGCTGAGATTACATGCACCTGTGTGGCGGCCCATCCTCCCCCTAGCAGCCCGGTGATCTTTCTAAAGCAAACATCAGTCAGTTCAGAAAAATGTTAGAGCACTAAAAATCGTTTTTTCTAGGCTTAAGGTCACACATTTTCACCACGGAAAATTTGGAAAATTCAGGAAAGCATAAGAAAGAAATTGCCTCAAGAGAATGAGAAGACGAGCTGCAGACTGGGAGAAGATATTTGCAAAAGACACACCTGACAGAGGACTGTTATCCAAAACGCACAAAGAACTCTCAAAACTCAACGGTAAGAAAACAAATCACCCAATTAAAAAATAGGCAAAAAAAAAAAAAAACGTGACCAGGCCGGGCGTGGTGGCTCACGCCTGTAATCCTAGCACTCTGGGAGGCCGAGGCGGGAGGTCAGGAGTTCTAAACCAGCCTGAGCAAGAGCAAGACCCCTTCTCTACTAAAAATAGAAAGAAATTAACTGGACAACTAAAAAAAATATATAGAAAAAATGAGCCGGGCATGGTGGCGCATGCATGTAGTCCCATCTACTCGGGAGGCTGCGGCAGGAGGATCGGTTGAGCCCAGGAGTCTGAGGTTGCTGTGAGCTAGGCTGACGCTACGGCACTCACTCTAGTCTGGGCAACAGAGTGAGACTCTGTCTCAAAAAAAAAAAAAAAAAAC